TCACAACGATAGATTCACTTGAACGGTTTGAAAACGAGCATATATGCAAATGATAATGGCAATTTGACAATTGGTGTTGGTTTAAAGATGTACACCAAAACGACGAGCTTCACATTTGCTCAATTAATGATGAAGCAAGGCTGATGAGGCCGCAAATAAAATTTGAACGTAACAAAGAACGTGAGTATTTGATCGTAATATATGTCAAAAAAAGGAATCGAGAAGTTGTGTAATGACTTCCGACCAAGAATATGTGGAGATGCTGGAAATGAACTCATATTAAGATGTTGATGGGTGGAGGTATTGAAATCGAGAAAATAAATAACGGGTTGGAGAAGTCATGTTTTCCCAAATGAAACTCGTTCACATCCGGTATTGAGCTGAAAAAACTATTACCTCACATGCGTTCATATAAGCCTAATTATGTGGTTATACACTTTCTTCGTGTTTCAATCGAGTTCAACTACTTTTAGATAATATTTGCTTAGTTTTGTGTCTGACCAGATAATAATTGAATAGTTTTTATAAGTTATTGATTATTTATTCCATTTGCGATCTTCATTATTTAGTCACCAACTACAATCTCTCATTAAAATCATATAAACGTCATTATTTTTCCTAAATATCTTTCTATTTTGTTAAATATGTAAATATTGATATTGTACTATAAGTTAGGTTTAGGCTAAGGCTCATATGTGTATCTATATATATGTGTACCCTCTTTGTGAATAATAGAATATATATTTTTCCCACATTCTCACCACGATACCACCTTGAGTTTGAGGGGGGGTGTTAAATATGTAAATATTGATATTGTACTATAAGTTAGGTTTAGGCTAAGGCTCATATGTGTATCTATATGTGTACCCTCTTTGTGAATAATAGAATATATATTTTTCCCACATTCTCACATATTTAACCATTCTTCTACTTTTGTTGAATAATTTAAATGTAAACTTAAAGCTCACTTTCTCTTTATTCATTCAATCCATTAAGTTGGCCCAAAAAGTTTGCCTACTAAATGAATGGCCACATTAACATCATGTATCCAATGTTTTTTTTTAA